AAGTTGTAGATGGCCAGTTAGTAATATAAATTAAATCAAGAGCAATGTATTTTAGCACCTTAAAAATACGTTAAACTTACTTAAATATAATCAGATCTCAACACAAATATACTGGTCTTAAAAATGGTTACTATAAAATTTATTCTTTATACAAAACATCTGAAAAATTCTGTATCATCCTGTAACACTTTGTGTATTCTTATGATATAATAAAATGACTTCCTTCAGAATATCTATGATCTCATTTCCGTCTCTCCCTTTAACTAGTTGTCCCAATGAGATTTAACAAAACGTTGATTTAGCTGCATACCATTTGTTTGATTTTAAGATAAATACAGAACTTGGGTTTTCATTATATATTTTCCTTTTTTTTTCCTTTCCACATACTTGGGTACATATTACTTGTTCCTCAAATCCTTCTTATGTGCATGTATTTCATATGCTCTGAATACATTAGATAATAAATAGTGACTAACTTGGATTTTATTTCTCAAAATTCTTTTTTTTTTACTCAAATAGTCTTCTAACTTGGTGAACCTCTTTTTATTCTTCTAACCTGATAAACCTCTTTGTTTTTTATCCCCTACTCCAGTGTATATTCTACTCATGTATTTCCTTTCTTAAAATCATTTCAGTAATTCCCAATCATATCACAATAGAGCTCAAGCTTCTCATCCTATAAACAGTTAACATTTATGTGTTCCTTATAGATATTCAATGGTAGCAAGACCCTAATCAGAAAACAAAGTTAGCATAATCATGAGAAGTTGTGCTAAATAGTCCAAACTTCTACTAGCTTTTTTTTGACACTAGTCAAGCAAAACACTTGCCTTAAAATTCTCCATGGTACATGAGTTTACTCAAATGCCTTTTCTGTCTATGCTTATGTAACATGATTTGTTTAATAAATAATTACAAATGTAGAGTGTAATTGTAAATTGATTGTAAATGAAGGTTAAACATGACAACCCAGTTGAGTCTTACATCAACAATCACTTTTTTTAAAGTACATTTCTAAAGGCGATATTTATTATAGTTATCAGTTATCTTAGTGGCAGTCAGCATACATTAAAAATGACGTAACAAGTGCTCTAATGGTCTAAAAGGAAACAAGAAATATAGATAATATACAAGTGACCAGGTAAATCAATAAAGACTGCTATTGTATGGCAAACAATGGTTTAGTTGCATTTTCTTCTAGTCATTTTTCTGATAATATGTGAGAGGAGGTGAAGGGAGGGTGGTAGTAGCAGGATTTAAAAATCTTCCAACTGTATTCATATAGTTCAGATATCCTTTCTTGAATCTTAATTTTGATCTTTTTTGTATGGCCACAAAGCCACCAGAAAGAAAAAAAAAATGCATTTAGCTGTCATCATGAACATCTAATCTTCAGTTTAATTAGAACTTTTATATGTCTTTTTAAGTGACAACTGTCAGAAGTCTCTCGAACACTTCTTATTTTAAAACACAATCCTTCATTCCACTAATTTAAATTTAGCTTCAAGGTCAAACCAAGTTCAGAATATTTACTATGATTTTCTCAGATAACTGTAGAAACAGGTCCATCCATAAATCTGCTAGATATCTGTGATTTCAGGTAAGCCACTGGAAATTGGCAGATGGAGGAGAAAGAAGCTCCCTCCCTTTAGTCAATATGAAATCATCCCTTGAATATGAAACGTGCATGGAGCTTATTAACCAAAATTCTTCAGTGGGCATATGCCACTTTATAAAAATATAACTCAATAGAGCACACATATAAAGATAATTATAAAAGCTGTTATTATACACACACCCACACACACACTAATGTGCATGGAGGTTTAGATGTGCCATTTTTCAACAGCAAAGAAGAGTATCAACAATGATATTTACCTTTTTATGTTATTTTAGAAAGCTTGTGTCAAAGTCCACAAGCTTTAAAAATGGTAAACATGGGAACAATGTGATAGGAAAAACATTTAAAATATGGTTTTGGTGGTGGGCAAAGAGCCAAAGTATAAGCCAATTTAAAACATCACTGATTGGATTATTAGACCGCTGGGAAAGAATGATTTGATTTTACTTGCTTCTGTCAGCTTAACCTGTATCTTGTAATCCTTATTCTGTCCCTGAGATTTCTAATTCAGTCAAGTCTGAGTCCTACAGTATCTTTTAAATATGGAAATGAGTGGTAGAACTTTATAAGTTTAGAGCATCAGCAGTATTGAGAAGATTGAATGGCTTTTTCAAAACAGGTTTGTACTTGTACAGTGAAACTCATGTAATACTAAAGCCATGGAAAATACCATTTTTATTTTTAATATAAATGTGAATGCATACATCTGCCTACACCTCTTCATTTGAAACATTCAAATTTATTATTTTTATTTAAAAAATATTACCTTTATCCTACTACTGAATTATACACATTTGAATTTTTCTGAATTCATTGTGACTTTTTTAACTGTTTGGAGAAAAATAAAATTTGCAGAAAACAATAATGATACTAATGCCAGAGTATTTATTTTCCTTGCTACTATTGGACATATACTTCTAAAATCTCAAGATTGATTATTTTTCTTACAACCACTTGAGCAGCTCTTAAGAACTATGTTCTTCATCATGGCTTATAGTTAGAGAAAAAAGGAAGAAAATTAATATTAGCTGCCAGTTTTCCTAGGGCTTTTGATAACCTAATTTGGTCTTTACAATGTCTTGTGAGGAAAGATGGTGGTAACCCCTTTTACAACTACACAATCTCCATTCACTTAACAAAGTGGCCAAGTGATAGAGGACAGATTCTGGGCTCTTCTTTCACCATAGTGGACATTTTATTTACATTTTCATTCTAGAGATGCATTTAACTGTCTTACTACTTCAGTAGTCATTGAATATGAATGAAGATGAGTACTCTGATTGGTACTTAAGAATACTTAGGTTTATATACTAAAAAAGTGGCAGATTGATGACCATATTTCTATGAAGTAACTTCTGTAATTGAAGTGAGAATAAAATGTGGTGGAAACAGAGTAGATGATGAAGAAACTTCCTCTGTGGGAGCCTCCTGTAATAGAATGAACTCCAGCACCTAGTATAAAGTTGTAGTCTTGGGTGCTGACTACATGGGGTCGGGAGACCTTTGTTTAGCCACTGCTCCTTAAAGGCTTTGGTTTTCTTAGAGAATTGTGAATAGTCCGTCTAGACCTTTCTGTAGATAATGAGAGTATAAAGAATATGAAGGAATTCCATGAGATGTCAGTGGGTTGGAATTAGATTGTTTTTCATCACAAAAAGAGATGGCTTTGGTCAGTGTGGTATTGAGCAAAGCAATTTAGAAGTAAATGTTGGAGGACAATGGAAGGCATAGAGGAGATACCATTTAGCTTATCAAATCTTTAACCTATCTGTGACAGGGGCTTCTGTTTTATAGGATACAACCTAAGTTCTACTTTTCAGAAAACCATATGTCTGTCAAATTTTAAAAGTGTATTAGATCTTTCATGTAATTAAACGGGACTGCAAAGTTCCTTCTCAATTTTGGTTTAAGAAAGAAGTAGCACTTATTGAAGCTGAGAAGACAGTTCATAAAAATAGAAGTTAGAGGTGTGTTTTCTTCAGCAGCAATAGGATGTAATACTGCTCTTCTAATTGTATGCACAGTCTTTTGCCTTTGTCCGCTTTGGATAGAAGTATGCAGAAATCATAATATCTTGTAATTTAATAGACTGAAAAGAAGTTGCCTTGTAAAATGAGAATTTTCTTCTGTAAAGAGTAAAGACCCTCTGAAATTTGTGAGGTTGTTATACTGTTAGTTGAAGCAAATATAATTTTTCATACAGTTACATTTATTGTGCTACCTAAGCTTTTTTTTTTTTCTTCACGTTTCTTTCCAACAAATTGACCATTACATTTCCAAAGTTCTGAAATAGCCAGAAGACCATAGAAAGACATTTCTTTAGGCTCCTGTTTGAAACCAACATCTTCAGCAAACTACTGGCCTTGATTCAGGGCCATGCCTGATATTTCTTTAGATATCATTTCTAGATGTATGTTAATATATTACATATAGGTGTATTTGTATGTATATTGATTGATTTATACAATATCTTATATAGAGAGATGGATGACGTTGTAACCTAATGGAAATAATAATTGGGTAAGGTTAGTATGGAATCTGATACAGATTATCAGATAACCAGTCTGCTGTATTCTTTTTAAGAGTTATATTTTATTTAAAGGCAAAAACATATGATTTATTTGTTTTTATTATTTAGGGCCTATACCTTGAGCCACTCCACCAGCCCTTTTTTATGATGGTTTTTTTTTTTTTTTTTTTTTTTTTTTGAAATAGGGTGTCACGAGCTATTTGCCCAGGCTGGCTTTGAACCATGATCCTCCTGATCTCTGCCTCTTGAGTAGATAGGATTACAGGCATGAGCCACCAGTGACCAGCCATATGATTTATTTTTAATTGCAACTATAATACTATCTAAATATCAGACAGGAAGCATGTCAGTAAATAATGATTTCCATAATCAGTAATTAATGATCTTCATATTTCTTTAGAAGAAGCAACTATCTTTACAATAGCATCCTTCAAAAGAAAATAGCTCAATAGAACACTCTCAAGTTTGAGCTGTCCTGGGAATTGGTTTCTTAGAAAAGTATAGCATATCTAATTACTTTTTTGTCTTTGTGGAAAACTTTGTTTTAGGATATGCCTGGCACTCTAGGTTAAAAATTACTTTTCAAATAAATTGAGCTAGCCATTATAAAATTTTTATACTTAAGATCAAGATTACTAATGGTGGCATTCATTTTGTAAAAATATTTCAAAATGTTTGGCAATTTAACCCTGTATTAAGGTGATTGAGAGTGGGCTTTGGGGAGAAACCTAGATTTCAGCCCTGTCTCTTAACACTGACTGTGTTTTGGTTCATAGTATTTAAGATTCAGAGCAAATCATCAGTTTTAAGAAAGAAACTATCTGACCACAATCTTTTTTGCTCTTGTAGATCAATGTACTGTTACACGGACATATCTGTTCCTTCACAAGTTCTGGTTCTTTAGTGCTGCATACTATTTTGGTAACTGGGCCTTTCTTGGAGTAAGTATAAGTATCATAGGCACAATTTGATCTTCCTTTATATTGTTAAATGTATAAACTCCTTGTTTGTATATTAATAGTCCATTTGTATCAGAGTAATACCATTGACTTTTAAGTGCATTGCTTCTGAATAGTTTTGAATTTGAGAAGTAACACATAGCTTATTTCAATTTACAGGTATTCTTGATTGGATTAATTATATCCTGTTGTAAAGGGAAGAAATCAGTCATTGAAGGAGTAGATGAAGATTCAGACATAAGTGATGATGAGCCTTCTGTCTATTCTGTGTGACGGCCTTCTGTCTTAAAGTTTATAGAGCTGACTGAATATCTATGATGCATTTTTAAAGTTTTAATGTAACATTAGGATGACCTATCTAGCTTTCATCAAAAGTGGGAGCATGGCCATTGAAAAGAACTATATTTTTTATGTTTTCTGAAATGACATTACTGTACCATAGATTAACATTTAAATTCACTGTAACAATACTGTGTAAATATAAAACTACCAGCTTTGTGAGGAAATGTTTATGGAAAAAATTTTTTCTTTAATGTGTAATAGTGTTAAATTGATTAAAAATATTCCAGAATTAATATTCCCTTTTGTTGTTTTTAAAAACATAATCACTGTATCTGTGCTGTAAGGTCTTCAGAGTAATGTGGAATCTTAAAGTATCTTATATCTGAATGTCAACATCTAATTTTCACAATATCATATTCACCAACTGATGAATGAATGTTACTCTCATATGTAGCTTGTTTTCTAAGATATGTTATATTGTTCAGATATTGATCCATTATCTACCTTACTACCTCCACAAGAGTACTTAAATACATATATTGCTATAGATAGCATTTGTTTTATAGATAACGTTAAAATTTGTGTTCCAGCATAAATGGAGAGTCAAGAATAATTAATCCTGAAAAAGTCAGTTTATTGATCATTTTAAGATACATGGCATTGTATTTAGAGGCATTTTTTTTCATTCTAAAGATCTGAAATTTACAAAAGATATAATGAAAGCTATATAACATCAAGAGTATTTTGAACACATTCTACATAGTAGAAGTAACCATAAGTGATCATTTAACTTACTGACATAAACTAGAAGCATGTCCTTGGAGTAAAATACCGTTATGTTTCTGAAAGAGATTTAAGAAGGAATAACCACCTCCGACTGCATTTTTGTGCCACGTACTTCTGTTCTAATTCTTTGCCTCTCATGATAAAGAGCCTTCATGTTTGGCTTTTGCTTCTTTGTCTACCACTCAGTGTTTAATCACCAGGATGATATTCATTTCTGTTCCTATGTTACATTTTCTTTGTAGACGATCTCATACATGCTTGGCTTCCATCTCCATTACTTTTTCCTTAACTCCAAACTTTTACTTGCCTGTAAGACACTGTTGCAAAAAAATATATATATATATTGCTTCAATTTTAGCATGTTAAATTGAACTCATTATTCTGGACATGCAAAATCTTTTATATTCTTTAAAAAAAACAACAAAAAATGAACAAATGACCTAATCTATCAATACTGGGTATACCTGATTTCCTAAACCAAAAATCAGGCAGACTAAATCCCCTGTGTATCCTGACTTGTTGGTAAAATCAAATTGATTTCTAATTTTTAACTCCCTTAGTTTGTCACCTCATCTGCATTCTTATTGCTACTCATTGTGTTACAAACTGAATAGTGTCCCTCCAAAATTTACATACTGAAGTCCTGAGAATATAAGGTCTGTTGAAACAATCTTGTAGCCCAAGTTACCAGGAAAATGTGGTGATTGAGTATTTTAATATCAGGATAATAAATTTTGTTTCCATTTCTAATATTCTATCTTTTTTATGTCTCCCAATTAATATTTGAGTGTAATTTTCTAATAAATGGGTCAGAGAGCTTCAGATTTTTAAAAATTTCCATATTGCTCTGATTAGGAGATAGGGTCTTTAAAAAGGTAATTAAGCTAAAATGAAGCTAATTAGTGGGGCCTTAATTCAATAAGCAATGTCCTTATAAGAGACATCTGGAATGTGCATGCAGCATAGAGAAGAGGCCACATGAGGACACAATGTGAAGGGAGTAGTCTACCAGATGAGGGAAGGAACCCCAGAGAACCCAACCCTGGGGTTCTAGCCTCCAAATCTGTGAGAAAATTAATTTCTGTTGTATCAGAGTCTGGCATTTTGTTATGGCAGTCAAGCAGACTAACACACAAAGCATGTCTACATGGTTTAAGCTTTCATGACTGTATTTTTTTTATTAAAGGGGGATGTATATTTAGCCTATTTTGATATTTTGCTACCTAGAAGTCTACAAATTTTATCATATCAGTATTGAATATTCCATATACTTAGCATTATTTCTAGGAATTATTTATTTTTGTCAGACCAACTTCTTCTTGGCTTTTTATTTCACTAGTTCTCTTTTAAAATACAGTTTTCTAAAAATTTATTTCCTTCATATTTAGAAGTATAAATAGAATAGAATAAAATAATAAAATTAAAGAATTCTAACACAGGTTTTCTCACTCCTTGTGATTTGAATGCCTTTCACTTTATATTTTCATAAAGTTAAGTGTTATGACTTCCACTAGTGAAGAAGATATTTCCTTTGAAGGCCTTATGAAAATACCTAAATTAGCTGTATCTATAGTAGACTTTCCAAAAGACCAAGGTCTTTGTGTTCCATATAGATGTCAAAGTGACTAATTTATTTAGCCATGTAGCAAGGTACTGGAGAAATGAGGAACCTGGAATTGACTTCTTGTACAGTGCTTCTATGCCAAGAAAATGAAAAATATGTTTTTCATAGGAAAAGAAAAGCATTTAGGAGCTCTAGGAAAACAAAAATCAATATAAGAAAGGGTTTTCAAAGTATACTGCTGAGCTGTTTAGTGAATGTTGTGTACATAGTTACAGTAATACACTATTTCAGAATCTATCCATAGACAAAGCACAGTAGACATTGATTGTAGCACTGAATTTAAGTATCAGTGTTGATGTTAGTCAGCCTTCTGTCACTGTGACAAATTACCTGAGAAAATCAACTTAAAAGAAGGAAAGATTTATTTTGACTTACATTTTCAGCCCATGCTAAGATGGCTCCATTATTTTTGGCGGGTAGTGAGGCAGAATATCATTGCAAGGGAGTACGTGGAAGAGGAAGCTGCTCACTTTGTAGGAGGCAGCCAGGCAGAGAGAGAGAGAGACAGAGAGAAAGGCTAGAGTCATAGTACCGCCTCAGGGGCACATCACCAATGACCTAAATTCCTTCCATTAGGCCTAACTTCCTAAAGGCTACCCCACCTCACAACAGTACCACAGGTTGGTGTCCAAGCCTTTAGCATGTGGGTTTTAGGGAACATTTAAGATCCAAATCATGACATCTGTGCTAAAAGGCAGTTAATACTAATTGGAAGATTAAAGAAGAGAGGTGGAAGGAAACCAAGGGGAACAAAAAGGTTTTAATGTCCTTATTTTATGAGGGAAAAGAAGAGAGAAAAGATAGAAATCAATTGATAACGTCTCTAGAGGTATTGTGATTATTGAAGAATGGGAGAAAATACCACCCTAAAATACAACATTTTGGTATAAGGATTATTTTCAGGTAAAGGTTCTTGGGAAACAGCAGGCACAATGGCTCTCTGACTTCCCTCTTTTCTTCCTAGAGGCAGAAGATAAAACTCCTATATAGATGTCCTCTCTATATCAGAAAGAAAATAACATTCTTGTCACCAGGGCAAAAAAAAAAAAAACAAAAAACGTCTACAAACAAACCTAATTAAACTAACTTTTATCTTCCTGGTACTTTTCCTCCATTAATGCCCAGCCCAAGCCTCCTTGTCTTGTTCCATTTTTATAATATAGTAAGTACTCTGTCCCATTCAGCATGTAAGCATTTACGTCTACAGCTTCTTTGAGTCTTCATTTTCTTGTGAGAGCTTCTGTGTCACATATGACTTAAATCTCTGTGCTTTTCTCCTGTTAATCTGTGTTTTTATACAGAGCCCCAGCTGGAATCCTAAAATGGATAGAGAAAAGATTATTTTCTTTCACTAAGGAAGCCAATAGAGCATCTGACATGATAATGTAATAATGTTAGGAGATGGGAAAGAAGAGGATACAAGGAAAAAACATCTCAATAAGCAAAATACTTTTATCATGGAAAGTCAGTAGATAATATTTAAAGTGGTTAAATTTAGAAATACTGTATTAAAGGGAAAATGAAAACTTAAAGGAGAAATTATCAGAAGATTAAATGGCCATTGCCATTATATATAAATATATATTTGAATATTTTTAGCAGCCATGACAGAAAGAAGATTATGGATGAAGTTTTTAATCTGAGTGAAGGAAGCCCCCAGTTTGCCTGTAGATGCTTTTTTTTGTGGGGGGGGGGTCACAAATTTTTTTAAATTGTGCTGGGAGTACATTGTGGCATTTTCAAAAGTTCTTACAATATATCATACTTCAGCTCACCCCTTCCACCATTCTCCTTCGTCTCCCTCCTTCCCCCCCATTCCTGGAATACTTTCAACAGGTCTCATTTTTCCATTTACATACATGTGTTCACAGTATTTGCACCATATTCACCTTTCTATACCCTTTCCCCACATCCTCCCCCCTTCCCATGGGTACTGATCCTACCTCTGCCCCAGATAGGACCTGTTCCACCCTCTTGTTCTCCAATTTTGTAAAGAAAAAAAAAAATGACATTTTTGTTTTTTTAAGACAGCTCTACAGAGTTTCCTTGTGACATTTTCATGTATTTATATATTATAACCTGAATTGGTTCATCTCTATTTTTCTTCTTGCTACCTTATTCCCCTTTATATGGTGATTTCAATAGTTTTAACAATTCTATACTCATTCTTGTATAGAGAGTATATCAACCATATTCACCTTCTTAACTTCTTTTGCCCTCCCTCTCTCCTATGTGACCTCCTCTTAACGTGACCTGTTTTTCATAATACTGCTTGTATTTACATTAGGTCTATAGTCCACATAGGAGAGAAAGCCTGCGGCTTTTGGCCTCTGATCCTGGCTAACTTCACATGATGTTCTCCAGTTCCATTCATTTACTTGCAAAGGACAAAATTTTATTATTCTCTGTGGCTGAATAAAATTTCATTGTATGTGAATACCACATTTTCTTAATCCATTCTTCAGTAGTGGGACATCTTGGCTATTACCATAGCTTAGCTATTGTGAATAGTGCTGCAATAAACATGGGTGTCCAGGTGCCTTTATTGTAACTGACTTGCAATACTTCAGGTATATCCTTAGGAGTGGAATTGCTGGATCATGTGGCAGTTCTATTTTTAGTTTTTTGAGGAGACTCCGTACTGCTTTCCGTAGTAGTTGTACTAATTCACATTCCCACCACATCCTCACCAACATTTGTTATCATTTTGTGTACTTGATGGTAGCTATACTAACAGGAGTGAGGTAGAATCTTAATGTGGTTTTCATTTGCATTTCCTTTATGGCCAGGGATGTTCAGTAATTCTTCATGTGTTTCTGGCCATTTGGACTTCTTTGAAAAAGCTCTGTTCAGTTCATTTGTCCGTTTTTTCATTGGGCCATTGATTTTTTGGGAGTTTAGTTTTTTGAGCTCACTGTATATTCTGGT